ACCTACAAAATATAAAATAGAGGAAACAGCTATTTCATGGGATCATTTAAAAAATAAGGTGAGAGAAGATAATCTATGCAGAGTACCTAGCACATCTCATTATTTTTATTCATAATAAGACCAAAGAATGGGAAAACAACTTTTAGAAAAAAGATTAAATTTAGGACCTTGAGCATAAGAGAAACAGAGTTATAAGTTATACCCCTCAACTGCCATCGGTTGCCCATAATCTCCCAGTTATGTGGGCAGTGGAAGCAAGGAAGGCTGGGAGGAAGAAGGAGAAGATAGAGGTTTTAGGCTGGTGATTCCGGGAGTACAAAGGCCTCATCTTTTCACTCTCCTTTTTCTCCCTCAAGCCTTACCCTTCCAGGACAGTGCTGTTCTCCAAGAGAAAAGCCAGGAAAAGAAGGCGAAAATGACAGTTGAACTAGTGAAAGCCATACCTCAGGTTAGTTATTTCATTTCTCCTTCTTGAAAGGCAGTCTTACTGTTTAGGACTTTGTAAAGCTGCTTTCCTTTTGAAAATTCCCTGATTAACAGTCTTATCTAACGGCCTGGTTCCCACTTCTCCCAGAGAGCACTGTCCTTAACTCAGACTGCCTAACGGGTAAATAAAACTTGAGTGTGATGAGGCATAGAGCCCCCTCTTCTTCCCACTTCATTTTATTTATTTATTTTTTAATTAATTAATTTATTTTTGGCTGCATTGGGTCTTCATTGCTGTGTGCAGGCTTTCTCTAGTTGTGGCGAGCAGGGGCTACTCTTTGTTGCAGTGTGTGGGCTTCTCATTGTGGTGGCTTCTCTTTGTTGCGGAGCACGGGCTCTAGGTGCGTGGGCTCAGTAGTTGTGGCTCACGGGCTCTAGAGCTCAGGCTCAGTAGTTGTGGTGCACGGGCTTAGTCGCTTCACGGCGTGTGGGATATTCCCAGATCAGGGCTCGAACCCATGTCCCCTGCATTGGCAGGCAGACTCTTAGCCACTGCACCACCAGGGAAGTCCCTCTGTGAGTTTTTATTTTCTGATTTTTTTCCTCTTGATTTTGTCTTATGTGCCTCATTATTTTGAGTTAAGTGCTGGACTTTGTATATTTAAAAATCTTAGAGATAATTTAAAGCTTTGATGTCTTCCTTTTGATAGGGTTCACTTTTTTTTGGGCTGCACTGTGTGGCTTGCGGGATCTCAGTTCCTCGACCAGCGATTGAACTCAGGCCATGCAGTGAAAGCCTGGAATCCTAACCATTAGGCAAGCAGGGAACTCTCTATAGGATTTACTTTTTAAAACAGATTTTTAAAAATAAACTTTTTAATAATAGAAAATTTGCTGATAGCAGGGAGGATCCTTATGCATCACACTCAGCTTCCCCTGTTTCTAACATCTTACATTAGTATGGGACATTTGTTAAAATTAATGAACCAATATTGATACATTATTATTAAGTAAAGTCCATTCTTTGTTCAGATTTCCTTAGTTTTTACTTAATATCCTTTTTCTGTTCCAGGATCCTATCCAGGATACCACATTACATTTAGTAGTTCTATCTTCTAGGTAGTTTTGTCTCCTTGTCTGTGACAGTTTCTCATACCTTCCTTCTTTTTGATGACCTTGTCAGTTTTGAGAGCTTCTCTGGTATTTCGCAGAACATCTCTCAAACCTGATGTTTTTTTCCTGGTTAGACTGGAGTAATGTGTTTTTAGAAGGAAGATCACAGAGTTCCATTTTCATCATATATCAAGGGTTCATACTATCAACATGATTTATTACTATACCTTGATTACCTGGTTGAGGTAGTATTTGTCAGGTTTCTGCACTGTAAGGTTACTCTTTTTTGTTCCACTTTTCCATACTGTACTCCCCTCTTCTCTGGCAACTACCAGTTTGCTCTCTGTATCTATACAAAGTCTGTTTCTGTTTTGTTTTTTAGATTCCACATATAAGTGAGATCATACAGTATTTGTCTTTCTTTGACTTATTTCACTTAGCATAATACCCTCTAGTTCCATCCATGTTGCTGCAAATGACAACACTGAGCATTACAAAGATTTTTATTTAGAGTGGAAATAAATGTGAAGATGAAAATGCCCATAATACTTAAAAAAATTTGTCACAACCCTCACAGATATAGAGAACAAACTAATGGCTACTGGGGGGAGGGGCAAGATAGGGGTATGGAATTGAAAGATACAAACTATTATGTGTAAAATAAATAAGCCACAAAGATATATTGTACAACACAGGGAAATATAGCCACTATTTTATAATAACTACAAATGGAGTATAACCTTTAAAAATTGTGAATCACTATGTTGTACACCTGAAACTTATTGTAAATCAACTATACCTCAATTTTTAAAAAAAAGAAAAAAATTTGTCTCAACCTGATGGTGATGGTAACTGGACATTAAGTCTTTATGAAACTAAAAATTATAATTATTTCATTTTGATATTGTCTAAGTGTATATTGGTTTGTTATATTCAAATTCAGCACACACGTTGGATGTGTTGTAGTCTTTTTTTTTTTTTTTTTTTTTTTTTGCGGTACATGAGTCTCTCACTGTTGTGGCCTCTCCTGTTGTGGAGCACAGGCTCCGGACGTGCAGGCTCAGCGGTCATGGCTCATGCGCCCAGCCGCTCCGTGGCATGTGGGATCTTCCCGGACCGGGGCACGAACCCGTGTCCCCTGCATCGGCAGGCGGACTCTCAACCACTGCGCCACCAGGGAAGCCCGTGTTGTAGTCTTATGCTGGGTGATTTCTCATATTGCTATCCAGGTCACTGTGGTATAGCCTGGCATGCTAATTAATTCTTAATGGTACAGCACAAAAAAATTGCATTCTAAATATATTTTTTTATTATGTAAGAAAAAACCACAGCCATGTCGGTTCAATGCCTCTTTCCCCTGAAACACTAGGATCCCATAGAGTACCATTTACAAAATATCAACTTAGATATTCTTTTTTTGCTGTTTTTGAAGGTTCAACCACAGGTATACGTCCTTACTTGAAGCCCTTGTTTACTGCCCTGTGGCCACCTGTCCATATTTCCCCATGCTGAGAAATGGATTAGCACCATCATATACAATGCAGTTTAGCATTTTAGATTAGCATTTTAGTTCAATAAGTACTATTTTAGGTTAGAGTTTAATATTATATGTTTAAGTTTTTTTTTTCTCTCTAAGGGCTATTTCTCACATAAAGTAGGGACAGCTTAACACTTCAACTTGAAGTCATGTGTGGATATGAGCATTGGTTGATCAAGAATGTCTTTGTGTCATTTCAGGACTTGGTGACATTCAAGGATGTAGCAATAGACTTTTCCCAGGAGGAATGGGAATGGCTGAACCCTGCCCAGAGGAGTTTATACAGGAGTATGATGTTGGAGAACTATCAGAGCCTGGTATCAGTGGGTGAGGATTTTTTCCCCTCTCATAGTTCAGAATTACCCTTAGGGAGTCTTTACGTTTTTTTTGTTTGTTTTTTGTTTTTTATTATTAAAACTTTTTTTTTTTTTTTTACTGTGTGTAGGTCAGAATTGAATCTGGGAAATAAAGAGGATATTCAGGAACTGATGAAAATTTCAGATTTAATAAGTGAATTTGGTGTGTATCAGATATTTCATGAGTGTGCCCTTTAGTCAGTTGGGAACAGGATGTGATGTGACTCTCACTGGTCTCCTGTGCTGCCTTGTTTCCTCTGTCCTATGGTATTGTTACCACTGTAACAAAGTTCACAAAGAGTATAGCTGGATTGTTAAAAATTCAGAATATTGCTTTAAAATCTGTATATTTTTATTAACTTGCAATAAATGAACTAGCGAGGCACAAACTATGAAAATTGCTTCAGATGTTCTTAGGGAAACTAAAATGGACCCTTCTCAGCCCTGGAGCCCACCATTGGCTGGATTAGCTTTCTGTTGTCTAGAGGCCCCCCCCTCTTCTTTTTCCTCATTTTCCCCTAGGAGGGTGTTTTATCTTTATTTTTTATTATATTACTATTTTTTTGGCTGTGCTGCATGGCATGAGGGATTCTAGTTCCCCAACTGGGGACTGAACCCACACCCCCTGCATTGGGAGGGCAGAGTCTTAACCACTGGACCACCAGCAAAGTTCCTAGAGGCCCCCCCTTTTTTTTACATTTATTTATTTATTTATTTGTTTATCTTTGGCGGCATTGGATCTTTGTTGCTGTGCTTGGGCTTTCACTAGCTGCGGCAAGTGGGGGCTACTCTTCGTTGCAGTGCCCAGTCTTCTCACAGCGGCAGCATCTTTTGTTGCAGATCACGGGCAATAGGTGTGCAGGCTTCAGCCTAGAGGCCCCTTTTAGCCTGCTTGTGGTTCACTGAATTTCTTGAAACTAAATATGTCTTTCACCAAATTTGAGAAGTTTTTGGCCATTATTTCTTCAACTAATTTTTTCTATTGATTTATTAGATAATTTCTATCGTTGTGTCTTCAAGTTCACTGATTCCTTCCATGTCTTCTTCAATGTCTTGTTAAGCCCATCTAGAGAATTTTTGTGTTTCAGATACTGTATTTTTCAATTCTAGACTTTAGTTGGTTCTTTTTTATCATTTCTATTTCGCTGCTGAGAAATTACAAGCATATTTTCCTTTACATTCTTGAATATAGATATTTTAACTGTTTTAAAACCCTAGTCTACTGATTCTGTGTTATCAGTCCTGTGTTATCACAGGTTAGGTCTCCATTAATTGTCTTTTTTTCTGAGTCTGATTCATTTTTTCTTCCTTTTATGTAGTAATTTTGGATTTTATCCTGGACACTAAATAATGCATTGTAGAAACTCTGGATTCTGTTATATTCTTCTGAAAAATATTGATTTTTTTTTTTTTTAAATCAGGCAGTTGATCTGACTCAAACTCCAAACTGTCTCTAGGGCCCCCCCTTTTCTTTTTTTTTTTTTTTTTTTCTTTTGCGTTATATGGGCCTCTCACTGTTGTGGCCTCTCCCGTTGCGGAGCACAGGCTCCAGACGCACAGGCTCAGCAGCCATGGCTCACAGGCCCAGCTGCTCCGTGGCATGTGGGATCTTCCCGGACCGGGGCACGAACCCGTGTCCCCTGCATCGGCAGGTGGACTCTCAACCACTGCGCCACCAGGGAAGCCCCCTTTTCTTTTTTTTTTAAGATTTATTATTTGTTTATTTATTTTATTTATTTTTGGCTGCGTCAGGTCTTAGTTGTGGCATGTGGGATCTTCTTTGAAGCGTGTGGGCTCTTCATTGCAGTGCACAGGCTTCACTCTAGTTGTGGCGTGTGTGTTTTCTCTCTCTAGTTGTGGCATGCAGTCTCCAGGGTGTGTGGGCCCTGTAGTTGTGGCATGTGGGTTCCAGAGCGCATGGGCATGCAGCCTCTCTAGTTGAGGTGCACGAGCTCAGTAGTTGTGGTGAGCGGGCTTAGTTGCCCTGCAGCATGTGGGATCTTAGTTCCCTGACCAGGGGTCGAACCCCCTGTCCTCTAGGAGCCCTTTGTATTACCTCACTTACTGCTGTCTGATGATCCTCTGAAAATGCTGGGCTGAATTTCTGCCCCGGCCCCTTAGAAAATGGTTTAACTTTTAAGAATTGACTGTTGGCAGTCCCACTAAACTATGCCAAAAGCTTTATATAGTCTGTCACCCCTTGATCTATTAATTCCTGTAATGTCATTCCATCAGAATTAAGGAACCAGCTGAAATGCCCAAAACATGGCCAATTTTCATATCAATTTTTGTATGCAGGACTTTGTATCTCTAAGCCATATGTCATCTCCTTACTGGAGCAAGGGAAAGAACCCTATGAAGAGTGAGATGAGAAGAACCCCATTCCCAGGTGAGTGTGGAAGAACCAGATAGGGGAATTCTTTCTAGGTAATGGCTCAGCCATTTTCCAAGGTGATACTTCCTGCTTTCTTATGCTCTTAGAAACTTCTCAAGCCTTGAGTCATGCCTTGACTCAAGCCTGGGATAAAACTGAAACTTGACTACTTAGCATGGGCTCCCCAAATATCTTCTCTTCTACTTGACTCTCTTCTAATAACTCATTTTGCAAAAATCTTTATCCAGCTCCTTCCCATCCTCTTTTCTTGTGCCATACAGACTTATATAAGCTTCTCTCCTTCTTACATCTTTGCTTAACTCTAAAATTAGTTGCTACCTAAAATCATAACATACCCTGCTGCTTAAATCTTTTTTTGCTTTCCTGTTGCAAACAGGAAAAGTCCAAACCCTACCAACCCCTATGTAACCAGCTCCTTCCTACTTCTCCAACCCTATCTTTTATCACTTTTTAGTTTTTTCACTATACTTTAGCCCAGAGTTTTCTAAACTATGCAAGGTATACAGGTATGTTCCAAGTTTGTTACAGGTATGCCAAGATCCTGAGTCTCTAAGCCTTGGAAGACCACATGGGGCTAGCAGCAGTCTGAGTTCCAAGTCTGGCTGCCTCTGGATCATAAGCAGTGCCATGTGTCTTACAAATGTCATTATCAATGAGTGCCTGACATACAGTTGAAAAGCACTGTTCTAGCCCACTGGTCACCTTTTCTGAACTCACCAAGCTCTTTACTGACTCAGGCTTTTGAATTCCCTATTTTCTCTGCCTCGAAGACTCCTCTGTCAGCTCTCTGTCCATGCTTGGCTATCAGGCCAGAGCTCAAAAATCATCTCACTGGAGGCTGTCCCTAACTACATTGTATAGAGAACTTTTCCCTTTTCCTACCCAATTACTCTCTACTAAGCCACTGTTTATTTTCTTTGTAACACTTAGGAGAGCCTATAATTAACTTTTTTCTGGTGTACATGCTTATTTTCTGCCTCCCCAAATGAACCGAAAATTCACAAACACAAGGAAATATTGGGATCACACGTGATAATTATGCCTTTATGAAATTCTCCTTTCACTTCTATAACAGTATTTGGTCTTTACATTTGGAGATGATTTGGACCCTAGACTTCTAGGATCCTCCAAATACCCAAATGTTAGGAGGAAAATAAGCTGTGCTTAGACACACTTTATACTTTGGTTATGTAGGAAGCTACCATCTGCCTTAAATAGAAAAAGAGAAAGAGGAACTTTCCTGATAAGAGGTAATAGTTGACCATGTGAAGAATAGATGGAGGATGAGGGAAAGGGGATAAAGAAGCCTGTAAATCTGCTGGGACGTTGAGTCACAGTATAGATGTAAGTATAATTCAGTGACTAAGATATCTCAGCATCTGTGTTGAGAAAAGCCAAAAAGATAAGGGACAACCATGACTCTTCATGGGAGGCTGGAGATGAAGGCAGCCTTCACAGACAAGAAAGAATTTGAGGGAGGAGTAGATGATGCCTTCAGGTTTCTGGTTTTCTCTTTCTAGTATTTCTCCCCTCAGCCCATCTATGTAAGAAAAACTGTAGGTGATTGGTTCACTGAACTCTTATGGCCTCAGTTCTAGAATTCTTGAAGCTTGGGTGTTCCTGATACCACAGATGACCTGGGGTAGGAAGCTTGTTAACACCTCAGTGTTTCTTAACTTCTCTGGTAGATTTGATCCCTCCCATCTCTGTACTTTTATACCAATTTTACTTTTTTACCACATGGGTTCGCATTTGATATTCCATATTTTCTTCTTCTCAGATTACTTCCTTTGTTGGCCTTGTCTTCCTAATCACTTTCTGTACTTCTCAAGAACAACTGTCTAATTACTCTAGTGTTCCTAATGCTTGACATGTAGTAGAAAACTATTTAGGGAGCATTGGATTAGTCCATAATTTGCTATGGACAAGATGGGAAAGGAAAGCACTTTCTCCTTTGCCCTTTCTTGATATCACCTCTCCCCTAAATTTTTCTCTTAGTGTCACCTCTTCAATACAAATTTCTTCTTTATAGATTTATCGAGAATTTCTTATTTATGCCTGAGTTTCTGTGATGCATGTTAAGTGACTTAGTAGTAGTGTGTAAGGCTCATCTAGTCCTTCCCCAAAGCTTATATTCTAGCTGACAAGGCAAGACAGGTACTTATGTGGCAGGAAATAAGAACATGATTAATAATAGTGTTACCAACCCACATATTGCTGTAAGACTTGTTTCTACAAAAAGACACATGGCAAAACCCTATTAAGATGTGACACTTTTCCTGCTTTCCACTTTTCCTGGTGAAAGTGAGAAGGTGAATGGAAAAATCCTTTAATATGCAGCCTGAAGTTCAGGGATCTATGAGAAGTGAAGAGAGTTTACTGTATTAAGACACATGAAAATGGTTCATAGGGACGCTATTTTCTGATTATGAAGAGATGACTCTAAGATTTTACCTAAATCCCAAGGGAAGTCACAAAGCACAAGGTATTTGTAATTTCTGGGAATCCACAGAGATTTTTGAACCGCAGTAGTTATGTGATGATATTGGTTTTTAAACAAAGTTAGCCTAGCTATATATGCAAGTCTCCCAGAAGTGGGATAGAGGAAGAGTTTCATTTATAGTCTGTTATGTTAATATAGGCATAACATATTATTACCATTGCATTACTACTTCAGCACTTTGTTATCCTACATTTAATTTTCTAAATCACCTTTTCCATGTTCCTCTATGAGGTCTCATTCTCTAGGGTCTGCTTGCATATTTGTTCAGTTGACACGCCTGTGTATCATACATTTTGTGGGATTCATTATTTTCAATTCACCTTTTCCGTGTTAAATGTTTCCTTTGTTATAGCCCATTATAAAGGAAACATTTGCTTTTTTGAATCTTTCAGATTGGGAATCTGTATATGAGACACAGGAATTACCTCTGAAGCAGTTTGTGTGTGATAATGTATTAATGGAGAGAATTAGAAGCTATGGACTTGAGTGTCCCACTTTTGGAGAAGATTGGAAATGTGAAGATCTTTTTGAGAGGCAGTTGTTAAGCCAAGAGACATTTATCAGGCAAGAAACAAGCACTCATAAAGAAACCCTTACAGTGGAAATAGACCATAAATATAACAAATCTGGGAAATTTGTCCCACTGGACAATATAAAAGAGAATATTTATAATCACAAATCAGATAAAAAAAGCTTTTCTAAAAATTCCATGGTAATAAAACACAAGAAAGTCTATGCAGGAAAGAAACTTTTTAAATGTAATGAATGTGAGAAGACCTTCACCCAGAGCTCATCCCTTACTGTTCATCAGAGAATTCATACTGGAGAGAAACCGTATGAGTGTAAAGAATGTGGGAAAGCCTTCAACCAGAGTCAACACCTTGCCCAGCACCACAGAATACATACTGGAGAGAAACTGTTTGAATGTAAGGAATGTAGGAAAGCCTTCAGCCAAAATGTTCACCTTATTCAACATCAAAGAATTCATACTGGAGAAAAACCATATAAATGTAAGGAGTGTAGAAAAGCCTTCAGCCAGCCTGCACACCTTGCTCAGCATCAGAGAATTCATACTGGAGAGAAGCCCTATAAATGTAAGGAATGTGGAAAGGCCTTCAGTGATGGCTCATCCTTTGCACGACATCAGAGATGTCACACTGGCAAAAGACCCTATGTATGTATTGAATGTGGGAAAGCCTTTAGGCAGAACACATCCCTTATCCGTCACTGGAGGTATTATCACACTGGGGAGAAACCCTTTGACTGCATCGACTGTGGGAAAGCCTTCAGTGATCACATAGGACTTATTCAGCATAGGAGAATTCATACTGGAGAGAAACCCTACAAATGTAATGTGTGTGGAAAAACCTTCAGCTATGGCTCATCCCTGACTGTCCATCAGAGAATTCACACAGGAGAGAAACCATACGAATGTGATATCTGTGGGAAAGCCTTTAGCCATCATGCCTCACTCACTCAGCACCAAAGAGTGCATTCTGGAGAGAAGCCTTACGAATGCAGGGAATGTGGGAAAGCCTTTAGGCAGAGCATACACCTTGCTAGTCACCTGAGGATTCATACTGGTGAAAAACCCTATAAATGTAAAGAGTGTGGGAAAGCTTTTAGCATCAGTTCACAGCTGGCTACTCATCAGAGAATTCATACTGGAGAGAAACCTTATGAATGTAAGGAATGTGGCAAAGCTTTCAACCAGAGAGCACACCTCGCACAGCATCAGAGAATTCATACTGGAGAGAAACCTTATGAATGTACTGAATGTGGAAAAGCCTTCAGCCAGACTACCCGCCTTATTCAACATCAGAGAGTTCACACGGGAGAGAAACCCTATAAATGTACTGAATGTGGGAAGGCCTTTAGTGATAGCTCATCCCACTCTCAGCATCGGAGACTTCACACTGGCCAAAGGCCCTACGAATGTGTTGAGTGTGAGAAGGCATACAGAACAAAATCGTTGCTCATTTGTCATCAAAGATGTCATACGGGGGAGAAACCTTATGAATGTAGCATGTGCGGTAAAGCCTTTAGCCATTGGCAATCCCTTACCATTCATCAGAGAATTCACTCTGGAGAAAAACCATATCAGTATAAGGAATGTAGGAAAACCTTCAGCCAGATTGGACACCTTAATCTACATAGAAGAATCCACACTGGAGAGAGATCTTATGAATGTAAGGAATGCAGAAAGGTCTTCAGACAAAGTGCGCACCTTGCTCATCACCAGAAAATTCATTCTGTAGAGTCATCTCAGGCCCCCAGCTCTTCCTCACATTCTGTGTCACCAAGTCCTGTTGATATGTCTGCTGAATATTTTTGGAATTCATCCACATCTTTTCATTCTCATTGCCCTAGTCCAAAACACTGTCATTTCACCTGGACTATTCCAATTGTCTAACAACTGGTCTCCTTGCATCCTCTTTTGTCCCCTTCAAGTTCATTCTTCACATTACTGCCACAGTGGTATTTTCAAAATGTAAATGTAATTGTATGACTCCCTTAAAACCCTTGCTATGAAATTTTGAACTACTTGATGCATACAAAGTGCTCAGCACAGTGCCTGACCCAGACTAAGTGCTCCATAATGTTAGCTCAGTATCCTTCAGAGTCTGCTTGAAAGTTATTTTTAAACAGTGAACTCTGGAAGGCAGTATATGTACTTGGAGATCATAACAATTTTGGAACTGAAACAATGTATATGATGAGGATTAGCATGAGTAGTATGTTTAAAGCTTGAGATCACCACAAAATAAGGCTGTGTTCCTTTGTTGGTGAGGAAACTCAGTGTGACCTGATACATAGAATATGTTTTAGGAAATGTCTAGAACTCTGGATAAGACTGGAACAAAAGAACTAGAATTTACTGGGAAGAATGTAAGACTATATTTATTCAAGGCAGAAAGTAAAAATTCCTAATATTTAAAATGGAAGAAACAGAGAACTTGAATAGTGTAGCCCTCTTCTAAGACACCTGGGTTAACATTAATTCTAAACCTTCAAGGAATCATAATTAAGCTGTTTTAGAGTGTAGAAAAAATAATTGAAATGGATGATTTTGCAGTATTTGTTTCTTTTCTTTCTTTTTTTTTTTTTTTTTCCGGTACGCGGGCCTCTCACTGTTGTGGCCTCTCCCGTTGCAGAGCACAGGCTCCGGACGCGCAAGCTCAGCGGCCATGGCTCACGGGCCTAGCCGCTCCGCGGCATGTGGGATCTTCCCAGAACGGGGCACGAACCCGTGTCCCCTGCATCGGCAGGCGGACTCTCAACCACTGCACCACCAGGGAAGCCCGATTTTGCAGTATTTGGAATACTTCTTTCATGAGGCTAATTCAACCTTAATATCAAACCCAGAAGAAAAAAAATTATAGATGAATTTACTCATGGTTTTATATATAGGAAGGAAATTATTAACCTCTGTTAAGGAGAATAGAGGTTCTGAATAAATGGAGATCTGTGTTTCCAGATGGAAGTTTCAATATTGTAAACATGTTTGTACAGTCAATTCCAGTCACAATCTCTATAGGATATCTTTACATTGAAAGTTTTGTTCTGAAAATCATGTAGAATGGTAAATAGGAAAGCATCACAAGGAAATTTTTGAAAAAGATCATATACCCATGAATTTAGTTTATTGCAAAAGTAATTATTTTTGATGTGTCAGTGGGAGAGATGGATTACTTAAATGGTGCTTGACAGTTATCCAACTGAAAATAAGGTCAGATCCACATTTCACCCCTTACAGAGAAGTTCATTCAATATGATTAAAGATGTAATAGGAAACAATATTAAGATTCTAGAAGAGAATGTAGAATATTTCTATCCCTTTGAGTTCAGGAAGGCTTTGGTAAGCAGGACACAGAGTCCAGAAGTCATGAAGAGAGACAGAGTGATAGGACCATGTAAAAAATTTAAACTTTTCCACGGTATAAGACACTGTATTCAAAGTTAAAAGGCACATGACAGACTGAGATTTTATATATATATATATATATATATATATATATATTTTTTTTTTTTTTTTTTTTTTTTTTCGTTATGGGGGCCTCTCT